TCAGGTAAGATACAAGCCATTGCAACATAGAACCACCAAACCCATACATTGCTAACTTTTCGACAAGAACCCTGTCCGAAACTTTATCAAAAGCCCTGCTCAAATAGGTATAAATGACGTCAACCTACACATTCGAGTCTAAAGCACCAATAGCTGCCTCCACAAATGTCGCCAAGTTAGTGGACGTTGATCGATCTTTAGTAAAACCAAGTTGGTGATCAGACAGATATTTTTTAAAGGAATTTTGAATGCTTGAACAAACGAGTGCTTCCAAAAGCTTAGCGAACGCCGACAGAATTTAAATTGGTCTATAATTTTCAACTAGTTCATCATACCCAGATTTGTGGATTGGTACTACTTTTGCCTTTTTCCATTCACTTGGGAAGATACCAGTGCTTAGTGAGACATTATAAATTAGAGTTAGTGGAACAGCTAGAGTTTCGGCACAATTTTATTTACAAAGTCGACAGGAGAGCGGTTAAAGTCATACTCAGGATTGCAAAACAACGTCACTTTCTAAAGTATTACCCACAGTAACCATTGACGTAGTACTTAACACCGTTTTCCAGCCGGGGGTACCGACCATCCACTATCACGATTGAAAATTCGAATGACGACCAATCTCGATTAATTAAATGCTTTTCCTTACGAATAGATCATCAAAACGAATATAGTGCGTCGAATCCGAATCCAATATCAGGCTTTATACAGACACTCTATCAGTTTCACAGTTTCACGCAGCCTGTCCTGCGCTTGATTTACGTTGTAACAAAAACGAACACGAGCAATCGCTTACGAAAGAACTTTAGCTTAAAAAAATTTAAATAAGTAATCGCACAGGTTTGCGCGTGCAGGCTTTTCTGCGCGCAATTCTGTACGCTCCTGATCACGCGCGTTAGAGTGACTGTAAAGGGGGCCATTGACTGTTCCGTCAGTGCAGAGCCCTGGCGATCCCGGTTTTTTGTTTATTGTTTCGAGTCGCGTTTGTTCGAATGTTTCTACATTTTTGCAGACAGACGACCTATGTCAAACGAAATTCTCCCAACCTTCTAAGTCCACTGGTTAGAAACTACTTACGAATACAGTAACGTTCCGTTCCACTAAGTACTCCTTCCATTGCTCATGCATATCTTCTCCAGTGCACATAAGGGTCTCCAGACTTCGAACTGCATTTGCCGAGGAATCTGACAGCTGCAGCAGCTCCGACAGACTAGTCGAGCAAGGCCAAGGCGGATTGGCGTTTAGCAATTCGATTATTGGTTCTAGCTGCAAAATTTAATATCACTGTATCAAGCTATTATTTTTAAATATGTACTAAATAGAACAGGTGAAACGTCATTTTTGCAATAACATTAACACAAGTTTAAAAGCGGGATGTATGGTTACGTTATTATGATCCGCACCAAGGTCGATTCTGGTTTGGATATTTCAGATAATTTTATTATTCTGGTACTCAAAGTACTGGAAAATCGCAAGTTTAACACCTGGTATGAGTGTCTGTCACATTTAAGCAATAATTATGCGATGCGATATCGATTTAGTTGGCTGTTTGTACCTGAGTTTCGCCAGCAATAACGATATCCACCATATCAACAATTAGTTGCGGTAGGCTGGGAATGATGACCTCAAGTGCCGAGACGATGACAGGTGGCAGGTTTGACGAGGTGGTCTCATTTCGGAATGTTGCTGAAATAAAATAAGTTTAGATAACTTTTTGAAGTTGAATACTGGACGTTCGTTTCTGATATGACCATCAGGTAACAAAAGCTGCATTATAGATATATGCGTTCATATCATTGACTTACAAGTAAATGGACGACGGGTCTAATACAAAAACCACGAAAAAAATGTCCCAAGTCAACCTATTTAAACGTAGTGACATGTCAATGAATATGACAAAGCTAAAACGTTGAATTTAAATTGTAATGTCATCGCAGTACTATCTAATTTTGCTTGCTTCGCTGTCAGTCGAACAAACGAAGGCTAGAGCGTGAATGACGCTCTGTATACGATTTTAACGCCCTGTAAGTTCGGACACTTTTTAGCGCGGACCCGACGTCCATATAATTGTAAGTCAATGGTTCATATTTAAAAAATGCTTTTATCACATGAAAGTCATAAACCATAAAAGTTGTCAATTTGCAGATATGACCTTATTACACCAAGGGTGCGACATTTTTGTAACCGACTTCAAAAAAGGAGGGCCTTCTCAATTCGAATGTATTTTTTTGTGTGTATGTTGCAGGATTACTCCGGTAGTTATTTTTAGAACGGATTTCAATTATTGTTTTTTTTTTGTTACAAAGAGGTTACCTCCGTATTGCGTCCTGATTTTGATTCAAACCGGAATCGTCCGATCGGGTAGTCTCGAAATCAGATGGGTTTCTGAGCGAGAAGATGAACCTGATTCCTATATATATCTCTTTCTAATTTGTGAGTTAAATCAACTATTGCTAATGTGAAAACTTTCCGATTGGCTAGTTAGACTCGGAAAAGACGCAGTTTCCAATCGGGAGAGGCAATCAAAATCAAGCTGCTGGTCTCATTTAAAGAAGAAAATATTACCAACTCTAAGGGTGTTCAAACTAAGGGATGAATCCGGTTTCGCGCACTTTCCTTTAATCGATTCCAATAAAACTTGGCAAATAGATGTGATTCCAATAAAAAAAGTCGATAAGCGAACTTTTGAGGTTGATTTTTTAATAAACATGTTTTAATTATATCCAGATATTTAGGCAAAGACAATTTACACCATGGATCACCATGGACATGTTATTTAGTACCTATTGGTACACCAGATGTCGCTACAGTACCAAATAGCTATTGCAATTTATCAAAGCTACTTCAATTTCTAGTGATAACAAACAAATCAACTAGATGGCGCTTATTGCACAGATTTTTGATGTACAGTACCGGCTATTCTTTTATTTTGTTTAGGATTAACGCCATCTATCCATATTAGGAAGAGTTAATTTATAAATAAGTATGTGATTGTGATGCCATCTATTGACATGCATATTTGTCAAAGTTCAGAATAATGTTAGCTCGTGATTAATATTTGAATTATATTACAAGAGAAAATAACTGACTTATTTATTTAGTTATATTACAGATCAATTATAATAAATGATATCCACTGTCATTAACATAATTAAACAACTTTCAGGCTATTGTTCAGCATCATCTAGATATAAGACGGATTTTGGACCTTTTTCAGAGTTACAATCTGTACTATAGAGATTAGCAGTCCTCTTTGGTTAATGGTCCATGGTTTGCACTTACCAGCGACAACTTCAGTTAAGTCGTGGAAAATCTCCATAGGGCCTCTTAAAGCGTATAGACTGTACTTCATCTTCAGCCAGCCTTCGTTTGTCACGTTCCAGATTTCGCGGTCTACCAAATCCAGCAATCTAAAGCTCAAATTTATCCTGAAAAACCATAATTCATGATATCGATAATTAGAAACTACCACATTTTATTTTATTGAATATCATGATGTCATTGTCACTACTTTACTACCATGAAATTCGTTTATCTTTTATAAAAATACTTCACTTGTTACTGCTATTATTGGTATAAATAGACCTAACGTGATGACGAATTCCGTCGATTGGCCTGGAATCGAATCAGCGTCTGTAGCCTCAACGCGGCTACCGCTCTTACCAACCCACTCACAATGCGGATCTTTGTTAAGGTTTAAACAACATTTTTGCCGTAACGCCACCTACGAAAACTTGTAAGTTTCTTTTACAGTTAGGTACTTTACAGTTGCCAGAAAACTGACAGAGATGTCGCTATGTTAAATGCAATATTTGTGAATATGTTTTTACTACTATGATAGAGAACTATTTTTAACCGACTTCAAAAAAGGAGGAGTTTCTCAATTCGACTTTGTTTTCTTTAAAATATGGCAAATTCATGTAATTCCAACAACTTTTGAGGCCGAATTTTTCTAATAAAAAAACTGTTATTTGTAAAAATATCCACTAGGTTGTAATTACTATTGATACAAAAATCGAACAAATACAAAGAAAAATTCCCTCGATCCGATTGGTCTGCAATCAGCATCTGTTGCCTTAACGTGGCTACTGGCTAGCTAGCTATCACATTTTCCAACAATGATTTGCAATTACGAGTTATTATCACCGTTTTTATAGCGCTATTTTATGTAACAATTGTGAACTTACCCGAGCCGTATACTCCGGCTTATATTTCTTCTATCAAACCATAATTTCTTAGCATTATTTAGAAGCTTGTCCACTTCCATCAATTGATTCTCATCCATACCGTAGCTGCCGTATTCAAACAAATACGGATAATCTCTCTGAACTGTCACATAAAGATTTTTAATGCCGGAGATCAATTTCGTCCATTTCACGCTTTCATAAGCAGTTTGTTCTGATTTACGTATTGAGTCTACCTGAAAAACACAATATGTATTATAGTTTAGATTTATAGTATAGTTTGTATTATAAAGCTTTTAAGCTTTATCAGGTTCCAGGGTAAGCCATCTCGTTCTTTCGTTAGGTCCCAGTTATCTTTTCCATCCTTCAGTTCCGGTTTCTATACTCACTCCTTAACTGTTCATGCGATCAGACGTTGGAACGCATTTCCATTACTGTTCATGATAGTAGATCGTTAGCTATTTTCAAAATGAATAGAATTAGGAAGACCTGACCTGACACTCTGTTTCTTTATTATGTCAAGTCTTTTAACGCATACTAAAAATAATGCAAGAATAGTAGGTAATAAGTCTGTACTTACAGCTTTTCCTATAACAGAGTCACTTTTCAAACCACTTTCAATATTTCGGCTTAAATCGCATAATGAAGATACTAAAGCTTCGGTATCGACATTATCAGGCAAGTTCAAATATAACGCTGCGTTGTCGACGCCATTACACATGATGTCTTCACTATGAGTCAATAGAGCTTTGTAGGTCTGGAAGAAATGAGGTTACCTTTATCACATGTTAAGAAAGATTTATTTTAATGATACTGAGTTTACTGCTCTAAATATTAAAGATCTTATTAGCTTTGAGTAATCAATATAACATGTAAGTAAGTATATGTAGTTGTTATTGTAAAGGAATACTTTTTAATTTATGTAATTCGAATTATCAACGAATTACCAAAAAATCCTTCTATTTCAATGGTCGATATGCGTGCTCTTCCATATTGGTGGTCTTTCTGAAAGTGCAACGACATCTCTAAATTTGATTGATCGAAAAGTAGGTGTGGGTAAGCAACAAGACGATACTATGAATATGCAAACGCGCATTCACCGCTCGACTGGAGCGCGACTCTCGTATTCCGCCGCCCGCGCCGCTGCCGTCGAGAACAGCGTATTACTATTATGCAAACTTAACCCGAGTTTCCAGGCCGATTGTATAGGAGTCTACTCGGATTTTGGTTTACCCCTTACGAGTTCATCAGCGTCTCAATAGCATTTATCTGCTTGCGTAATCAAAATGATGACGACTGATCTGTTGCTGAGGTATATGAGTTGTAGCAGATATGTTATTGGCTGAAGTCAAAATCATCGAAGGGAAAAATGAAATCAAGAGAGAAAATTTGGACCAGAAAATGGATTCTGAAGATGTGATCAACTGAGAGCTTCAAATATTTTTATTCGACAAGTGAAAGAGGAAGATTGTAACACGATGAAAACCTCATAGAGTTACATTCAATCCACTTGTTTTAGTTGGCGCCATATTGTTTTCATAAAATGATCCGAGCATACTCGTAACAATAAAACCGCGTCCGAGTCCACTTTGATTGGATGTCGATGTCCGACTGCGCACGCATTTCCACATTACGAGTAGGTCCGAGTCATTCGAGTGGATCCTGCATCGCTGTCGTCGTTCAGTTTGCAGCCTAAGTGTTACATAAGATTCCGAATTAAACACAGTTAAGACAACTAAACTGTTAGATATCCACCTTCTCTTCATCAATAGATGTTCTTAGTGTCGTTTCCAGTATTGACGGATAAAGTTCTCGCACCGTTTTCAGTAGACTTTCAGAAGTTGTATTGAGCTGGTCATTTAAAGCCTTTACCAGAATTGTGGCGTCTCTTAGAAATGGATTTATTTTGTACGAGAGTATAGGATTTTGATCTATTACTTCCTTTGCTAATGCTCCATGGACTACCACTCTGGAAACAATATAAAAAATAAAATTGATGAATATAATTGCCAATAAAAAATACTTCCTTCGAGGATTACAAAGAAATCCTAAGTGAAATTCACTTACAATATCTGTCTTCCCAAAGCTGCTTTACTTCTGACAATCTTCATGAATTCGGAATCTTCATTAAGGTTGAGCAGTTTATTCCAATTCATCTGAGGTATTTTCTCTGTGGTAACTTTGCGTAATGTCTGCGTAAAGCTCTTCAGCACTTGAAAATCGTAGTCGATGGTGTATAGTTGATCTGCTGTACTTTTTCCTAAGGTTTCTTGTATGAGAAGAGATGCCATTTCGTTTATCTAAAACCATTTTTTAGAATTAAGTAAAATTGAATTATTTAAAATTATGTAATACATATGTCAGTGTGAATTCTTACCTTGTCTTTTACATCAAAGACGCCAAAAGTTCTGATTAAATCAGAAACATAATTATTCCAAGAGTCAGTGCAAACACTTTTCTTTATTGAATTAGCTTCTTCTTTAGATATTATAAAGAACCCTTGTAACGCGTTTACATTGCAAAATACTTGCTTCGGTTTGTCAATCTTGGCTGTTACAATCTGTAAAATTTCGTTGTATTAAGTACTAAATACAGGCAAAATTTTAATGAAACCAATGCATGTTTTCGATGGCATTTGGCATAAAACAGGACAAAAATACTCTAGTGGTCGCTGGTCAATGACTAATTATGTTAAATGTTTGTTCTTTCGTTTCGTTTCGTTCATTATTAATCATGTTAATTATTTGTGCCAATACATAATATTTTTTTGGTTGTGTTCTATTTCGTGATGGCTAGATTAATAGCGAGGGTTATGTATTCACATAGTCACTGACAGTCACGGGCCCTTTTGATTTGCCTATTTACTTATATACTTATTGTTTGTTATGTCATTTCAAGTGTTAGTGAACTATAAAATGCCTTTGATATTGTAGCTAGAACAAAAATTTCAATACAGAAGTTTAGGTATAAGATTAGAAAACAATCGCACCTGAGCCCTTTCTGCGCTGACGAAGCCATCAAATCCTTTGGCGATAATATGATTCGGAAGCTCTGTTAAAACTTTAACACCTTCGGGGTTTCTCAGGGAGACCTCGTAGACCCGCTCTTCTATATGCATATTGATGTTAATTACGTGGTTCGCACCCTCGATTAATTTAGCTAATAAAGTTGAATACAATAGTACGTCGTGTTGGACTCTGCTGTTTAGGTTTTTATGTATTAGTTTTGTAACTTGCGCCAATCTAGAAAAAAAGTTAATATTTGAATTAATATTGCACCTCTGGATTTAATGCAAATTTATTACCATTGACCGTATTATTATTATTTAACTACACATAATTGATAATGAAGGTAGCTAAAGAACACAATACTTACAAATTGAAAACATCAATTGAGGAGTCATCGACTACTTCGGGTAAAACCTCAATAGCTTTATGCAAATCTTTCGTATTTAATTTACTTCCTTTTCCATTTGATAACTCTTTGTCTTCTCTATTCTCTGAGGCTGAATTTATTTCACTTTGTGTCAATACAAGTTTGCTTAAGAAATCTAATCCCAAGATTGTCGTGTCGGAGAAATCTTTGATTTGTTGGTACGATTTCGTGTCACTAAATGTTGGTTTCAATATATCCATTAGTTTTGTTACTCTGAAATATTAATTTTGTTTAGATGCGTTTTTATAATAGAGTGTTAATAAAGTGTTTTATTGTACGCCGATTTATACAACATACCGGGAATCGGTTTCAACGGTTTAAAGGTTCAACTTCCAACTTATATTTTTAGCTCTCTTTTGTTTCAAACTATAAACTTAAGATTTCTAAGAGCAATAAATAGACTCATTTCTGTATTCAAACATTTAAAGGTTTTGAAAACCCTTTTTACTTACAGTTTCAAATCAAAGTAGCTGAAATCAACTTCAGTACCCCGCAGTAACGCGACGACCTCTGCCGGGAGAAAGCTTTGGACTTTGGTCATTCTCAGTACGGCAGTCATTGTATCACCCAGGTCTTTCACTCGATCATCACCGGATAGTTTGTAGTACATGCTGCCTATCTATAATTTAATGCAAATTTTGTTTTTTATTGCACATTAAATTATAATTTTGAATCTTTCTTTGAAAATGATATGATAGTACTTTGTTAATTTGAAGGTTATGTTTTAAATTTCAAACACTATTTTTGTTACCATACTACCAACTCCTCAAGTTTAAAAGTCGTTCACCTTATAGAATTGATATACACATTATAATAACATAGAACTTACCATTTTAATATATTTGCTGAAATTAATCTCCTGCATCAGATCCATGATGATCTTCTGTATATGCTTGTCATTCAGTGAGCATATTTTATTTGTAAATAATTCCAAATTTGCCTTGTTTTCCATTTTTATTAAACTCGTTACCATTACGGCACAGTTATTAGTGTTGCCATTAAACAACTGTAATTGAGTATCCGTATATGAGTGAATATAATATAATTTTACATGAAATACTCGTATATTGCAAACCCTTTGAATTTTATATTTCTATATTTTTGTTGGTCTTGATTTACCCCAGAACAAAGTTTGATTAATCGACATTGTCTGGATGGCTCTGTTACTTACTCTATATTGAACAGTAATTAGTAATTCTAATTACAAATACAATTGTTATAATAAATTAATGAAATTGATAGGTACTCTATATTGAATAGTAATTAGTAATTGTAATTGTAAATACAATTGACTTATTAAATGAATGAAATTGACTCTATGTGTCAGGATGTAACGTACCCCTTGCATGTTAAGCTTTGACGTCATGAGATCCTGTGCGACTTCTGGACTCAGCTCTAACTGCGTATACACATATCGTTTGGTTTTTGATGGGTTGCTAAACAAGTCTTGTACTTGAAGGCCATTTTCTATGGAGAGTAATTAAAAATAGATTAGAATCTTAATTTTTTTTTGCCTGGCAATAAAAGTTTGATTTGTGGTCATTCCTAATCAAATCATAATTTTCACCTAATAGGAAAGTTTTCTATAAATGCAGAGGATACGCAGCTGGGTATGTTTATGATTTGCTGCGCTTAGCAAACTTGCTAAACGATTCCTTGGTACACAGACATGCAATTCTCAAGTTGAACCTTATGCCATCGTAAAGTTAAACAGAATTGCAACGATCTTTGATCAATATTTTGATGAAGGAACCTTGACGAAAAGGATATGGTATAAAACTATCCAGCCGCTATTCCTCCGACCTGGTTTGTAGAGCACAAAATAAAGACACCATCATATTCCGTTGAGTAAGTTTGTATTTATGACGGGAAAAGCTGATAGTTCAAATTGTAGTGAATGTAGGATTATGGAAGATGTTAACTAGTTATGGAATGTAAACGGAATGAGGTCCAGAGCGATCTAACTTACAAGTAAAAAATAATAACATTGATGTTGTTAACAGATATTGGCATGAGAGGCTAAGATGCTGCTCAATGGAGTGGGTTCAGGACTTAAGAACAGAGAACTGTAATTATTTAAATGTTGTACCCTTTTCATTATGTGTTGCACAACGAGGGTGAGGTTTTATTGGAACAAAACCCTTTTTTTATGTGTACGCAGACAAGGTGGTCACACGTTATTGAAAATGAAGCATCGACAAAACAAAAGAACAACACATATTGATTGGGCGTTGACCGTCTCTAAAGAGAGGATATTACACGACACTTACTACTAAATTCTATGAAAGTAGGCTCGTCGACGACGTCAGCCAATTTGGATACGAGCTTGAGGGCGCTGGGTACAGTCGTAGCGACGTCGAGAACTGTCTCATTGTAGATTAGTGACGAGAATTTTCTTTGCAGCTGAGTTAGTCTGAAAACAAATTACGTTTACAAGTGTACCATTACAATATTGCAGGGAGTAGAGGGTAAAGATTAAGGCGACGTATTTCAATGCGAGCCTACATTTTAGGATATGAGGTGTGGGGGACCGCGGCTTGCCTCTCGCAACCCGCGCCCTGTCAATTAATGCGAATAAAATAAACACAGGCGGAAAATTCGAGACAAATCCGTCAACGAGAAGCGCCTGATGGTAGCTGATGGTGGATGTCGTTAAAACGCTGGTCAATTTTGAAATTTTGAGACAAATGTCAATTTAATAACTACAGGGCTTCAGTAGAAAACCAAAATTTTGCAGGTTCTTTGTAGTTACTTCAAGAGAAATATAAAGTTAGATATTTTGTTCATATATAATTCGTTTTGGACTGTAGTTTTAGCCTGTTTTCAGGATTTTATATGATCGGATATAGAACATCACATCGTGTAACAAATTAGCACATTCTTTAGACAATGTCCTTAGGTGTATCATAACATTTTTAAAAACCGTTATCTAATAGTACATATCTAAACAATTTGATCTAGCTAAACAGTTATCCCGTTTCTCGCGACTAGCCGTGTATTTTTATACGTTTTTAACTCCCATTTAAACCATTTATTTACCACACATAATAATAACAAGAGTGCGTGGAGGGAAGAGGCTCAGTCCTTCTGGCTTCTGTACTGATTTTCGGCCTGGCCTTATTGACTCATTGTTTTTATAACATAACCAAATTTTAATAACACCGCCGTCACGATTAACATCGAATTTTAATAATTCTATCTGTTGAAATTATTCCAATAACTTTTGATAAATTAATTTTTAAAATGATATAAGTACGACTACGTACATAGATATTATGACTACGTACGACCAATTTACATTTATTGAAGAATAATAATAAAATAATAAAGATAAAAAAAATTGAAATCAGACAATATTCTCAATTTCGCTCCCTGTCCGCTCTATAAGAAGTTAACCACAGTTTATCTCACTTAAATTAAATTAAAAAGACATTCTTCCCGTTTTACTCATACGAATTTGCGACGTTCTAGGAAGTAGTTACATTACTCTGCGCGACAGATCAGCATGGTAACCATCCGGCCACTGAGGCAGTTAAATGAATATTTACAGCCGTTTAAATCTCTTCTCAGCCATAAACTGAATATTTATTAAACGACTTCAAAAAAGGAGGATGTTCTGAATTCGACAGCATTTTTGTGTGTGTGTATATTACGCGATTACACCGGCATTTGTCAACTGATTTTGATGATTCCTTTTTTATTGGAAAGAGGATACCTCAGTGTGGTTCCTATTTAAATTTGAAGAAAATATTTCACCTTTAAGGGTGGCAAATTAGGATGTGAATCCGTTTCGCGCACTTTCCGGTAATCGATGACAATAAAACTTCACAAATAGATATAATTCCGCGACCTTTTGAGGTTTTTTTTAATAATAAAGATACAATTATTATTTAACTTCCACTTATCCGTCAGATCGAATTCAAGTGTGTTATACTTAACGTGGTCAATATTTTTTTTTCTTCAAGGCAGGACGCCTGTTAATTCATTATTGTTTTAAAAACATTACACTTGTTTATGGTAGTTACGAAATGTTTATGATTAAAAAAAAATGAAAAAGGTGCTAAAAAATTTTAATATTGGAATATAAAAAAAACTAATTTTGTGTGTATTTAATAAAATTAATTAATTAATTAATTAATCTTGTATCTATTTTCGGATGAACAGATTCGCTTTAAAATACAGGTTTACTTCTTAAATATGAATGTAACTATTGGAACGATTTTCAAATTTATATATCACGTGTGCCGTGTTATGTCAAAGCGGGACATTTTTAATTATTTTGGGTACAGCGGGACATGAAGTTTAAAAGTCCCGTAAGTTATACTATTTAAGTCCTATGACATAACCATAATAGGGTAACCTTGATGTGACGCTATAATTAGGACAGTCTGCAGGCTATCCAAGTCTTCAACTACTTACAGAAGAATTATAGTGCTAAGGGCTCATTAAACTGGTTTGGACGAGTTTTTAATTTACGGATGGCGACTTTGGAACACTACTTTGACACAAAGATATAAGAGAATGTATTTATTCAAAGAAATACCTATACTCACTTAGCTTCTTCAAAGGTAGGTATCTCATCGTACTCATCGAGCGGATCGCACTTGTTATTAATACTGCAAACGAACGACTGAATGAAGTTTAACATGCCAGCACTAGGTAGTGCGCGTGCAGGAAACTGACCTGTAAAAATGTAAGCGGACGATTAATGATGTTGTCATGCAGGTGATCAGTTGAATACGTTTCATACACAATATGGAATGACCTGCCTCTTCCTACATGAAAGACAATGTCTCCAATGTCATTGTCATTCAAAAAAAAAGCAATGCCAAGTCTTTTTTTCCGTTTGTGCTATATGTGTTGCGTTGTTCCTGAATTTATCACACGTTTTATAAAATTTTTATTGTGTGCATTTGTTAATTTTGGTGAATTTCTATCAACACGGGCTATGGCAGAGTATCAATATGGGCATATTTCATGGTCTTCTATATCCGAATAGTAGACATTATTTTATAGAATTCTTAGCTTTTCGCGATTCTCTCGATCATTTGATATGGAAACCAGGTTTGCGTTGTACACGGCATAAGGAGCTTGTAAAACATTTCCAGAAAGCAACGCACCGAATGTAATCTTAACTAAATGAGAAATGCGTAAAGTTATTGCAGGAATTATAAAAACATGTATACATATTCTTACATGATGGGAAATCCAAATTGTCTACATTGACCCTTACGATGTATAAACATATTAGAATGGCTGTCGCCCAAATTATGCCCGTGAGAGTAATCTGCGAACAAACACAATGTCAATAAAAAATTAAGTCATTACATTATTATTAAGTTAATACAGTTTACATTCAGTTGTACATACAGGTATATCTGAAAAACAATTAACGCAAGAAGAAAACAAGACAAATAATACAGCAATATTATGGAAAGTGTAAACATGCCAGAAGAGAGAAAAAAAAGATTACAGACTTAATAATAGTGGGTGTATCTAAATACCAACGGATATGTAAAATCCGCTTCTACGTTTATTAGTTATTCTTCGCTTAACTCTATTCAAGGACAGATTCGCAGCGAGAAGTGCTGGACTGACCTGCCGATGCTGCCTCCGGTAAAAAATATGTAAACAATGGCTCCTGTCTGTAAAGAAATAGAGTAGCAATCGATCCTTAATACCAGGGAAGAAAGTATTTATGTGGTCTGTGCTTAATCCCCTAGCAATTCTAAACAAACAAAAATGTCGATTTTTTCAACTTTCTGATGCGTGAAGATTGAAAATCGGCAAAGCTGAGACTCGTCCATTTTGTCCCTATTACCTACTGTTTTTTTTTGTTTTAATTGTTAGTTTATTGTTATAAAACACTTAAACCATAATTGGGTTAAGTGTAGAAATAAATCTTTTTATTTCATTTTTTAAATATAAATCTTAACATTAATGACGAGGAGACTATAATAATTGAGGATCTTAGTCACAGACCACATAACTTTTCTTTCTTCCGTGATCTTAGTAGACTGAAATCTGTATCCCTATAGTCGAGAATAATAAGGAGCCCTCCAGATTCCGATATTAGTAAATCATTACAGGTTTGGCACATTTAAGTTAAAGGGTATAAAAGTATGTATTATTTTTATAAACGTTCAAGGCAGACTATGACATCCAGCTTCCATGGATGACCGGCGGACTGAATGGCCATGAGGGTTAAGTCACACTGAAAGAGCAAAAAGTAAGTCTGCGGCTGCTCGCGGTGCAGCACTGTACGTTATATTATTTCAAATCAATTTAAACTTTTTTCTTTAGAAGATAAGATTAAAAATGTGCTACCCCGGCTGCTGCTCTTTCAGTGTAACTTGACCCTTAAGGCAAATTGACTCAGAAATTCACAATTAGATCGACTTTCTTTTAGATAAAAAACGACGATTACAATTCTGACCAAACCGCTCACAATAATTGCCTTAATTGCAATAATGGCCAATTGAGAGGAAGCATTTACTATATTTTCTAAGTTACCTACATTGTGAATATTTAGTAGCAATCCCTTTCACCGACGGCTAAACGTCGAGATGAAACACGTCGAAGAAGGTATACAACCCTTAGAAAATGTGTGGAGTTCCCAGTCTAGGGCACAGGAGCATTGAAAAGGAAGAAAAGACCAACGGGTTTCTTTATTACATCTTATTTCGTCGTCGATACAAAAACCAGAATCAAACAAAAAACAAATAATAATCTCAGTACATAGTACTAAAAAAACCGACCTCAAAAGTCATTCATCCCCTGGTTTGCCACCCTTAAAGTGGTTTTCCACTGGCGAGGCGAGACGAGACGAGGCGAGGCGAGAATTGAAATTTCGCCGACCTATTTTCACCAAAAATTGCCTTCGCGAGCCCGCGCGAGCTCGCGCTAGGGTTATAGATGGTGGTGACACAGTGTTGTTCAATTCGTCTATTCTTATATCATTCTTATTATTATATTATCATTCGCAAATTCTTATTATTAAATATGTTAACGGAAGAAGATTCAGATGAAGATACTGTAAGAAGAAATAATCATGTTGTAATATAAGCTGTTTGTACGAAGATAAAATATATAATAAATAAAAAGAACTTTTTCGAAAATAACTTTTTTTATAGGAAATGAAACTATTTTTCGGATTTAAATAGCGTGTATTTGTTTTTTTTAACAAACTGATTTTTTTATTTTTGTTTGTTTGAAAAAACAAATATACGCGATTTAAATCCGGAATAATAGTTTCATTTCCTATGTCGCGAAAACCTAAGAACTCGATGTAACTTTTTTATATAATCTTTTATCCCAGGGCACATATTACGAACTAGCAAAATACACATAAAAAAGTTTACAACTGGCGTTGGTATATTTACATTACATTGCAACTATATTGTATATATATATTTTGGAAAATGATGCAATGTTTTGAAAGTGGTTACATAATTATGATAAAATCACAATCCTAATCGTGTACATTTTAATGCAATTATAAATATATAACACGCATTGTATAAATATTTACGAAAATGATTACATATTTTTCAAAACAGCACAAGGTACATTTTTTGAAACATCTAATATTTACATAATTTCGAAAATGTGTGAACGTTTACATTTTAATGCACGCGACTCTATCCCACAATCTCGTGTCGACGATATCGTACGAGACATCGTAAATCGTGTTTCCGTTGCAGAGTTAATACTCGTAGGGAGCAATACGGTTCAATGTTACATTATCAAATATTTCAAATCTCATCTCGCCTATCCTTGTCAATCCCGATCATTTCCACCAAAGATGCGCTAGGGGAGAATTTATATTTTGTCATACAAGTTTTAAGAATCGGCTCGCCTCGTCTCGTTTCACCGGTGGAAATACACCTTTATAGAAAGAAAATGTTCCACTTTCTTCAAATTGAAATGGGACGACTACTGAGGTACCCTCTTTCCAACAAAAAAGGAAACATCAAAATCGGTTCCCAAATGCCGAGGCAATCGCTAAACATATACACATAAAAAATAACAGCCGAATTGAGAACCTTCTCCTTGTTCTGAAGTCGGTTAAAAAGACAGTCTCTCTGTCAGTCAGTCAGCTGGCCAGCTACACAAAGCAGGCGGCGTCCAAAAAGGTCATAACAAGCAATGTTACTGCATATTATATTATGCAAGTGAAGAATATCCTGTGTCCACCCATCAAAAACTATCACTGAGTAACGTAGAAACATATTATACCTTTCAATAAAACAACCAACAAAATTAAACAAGTGGAAAAACAGACACCGTTTTCCAATTTAATAAAAATCGATGTTCTTTATATTTTATATCATATTTTGATATTGATAGTAAGGCTGAGAACCTTCAGCTAAGAGTAGGTAAATACTAAATCTTTAAAGATAAACATTTTGGTCGTGGCCATGAGTCCGTCGTCGACGTGACTATCGACTTACCTTGTAACTGTGTTTGTCTATAGCCTGATGAAGTGCAGATTCGACAAGTAAAGGTTGATGATTTCGATGAAGATCACCGAGAGAATTATAGAAATAAGTGAAACGACACTAGATCGCCTAAACCTGGAAAAAGTTCAAAACTAACATTTTTATAAAAACTTGACCAAGCTCAAGGTTGGTTTAAGAAATTATCACAACCTGGATTTAGAGCCTAACTTTAGATATTCCATCTAGGTTATAATATCTAATCGTGTTTTCTGCGACACCGATAAGAAATTTGACGTAGTTAAGCAAAAAGATCCAATTCACAAAATTATCAAAAAATGAGACATATATGTACCAAAGGTTCCTGAAGTCAGCAACAAAAAACTAAGGAGGAGGAGGAGTTACATGACATTATAAGTTTTTAAACATCAAACTGCCATATCTCGAAAGTAACTGGATGTGCATTGGAACCTTTTTGTTGAAGTACGTCCAATTGAGTAGTTAAAAAATCGATACTTTTCATTGCATATCAAAAGAGTCTAAAGATCAAGCACGTTTTTGCTAATTACTGAAAATCACGTTTTTTAATTATTTTTGTTGTAACACCGATGGATTTTTTTGTCAATTTCATTTTCAAATTCAAATTATAAAGTTGACCAAATAAAATCGGTGTTAAAAAAAATAATTAAAAAACCTGATCGAACGTGCTTGATCCCTAGACACTTTTGATGTGTGTACATTCTACTTATTTGAGGGATCAAAAAGGTCACTAGACTAAAACTTACAATTTTCCGTTTCCTGATAAGGTAGTCCTTCCAGAGCAGCAGCCGCAACTGCCGCGACGCCGCAGGCATCTTGAATGCACCATTACTGTGGAAATATATACAGACGATTAAAAGGAAGGAAGAACTAGTTATTTTTTTACTTTGACGGAAGCAGAAAAAATTCAAAAAATCTGCTATAGTTCAGGGATTAACAATTGATTTAACTGTCATATTCAAGTTTTGTTAAGAGAAATATAACTTCGTGAATGAATACAACCCAAGTTCATCACATAACTTTCTCATTAGTATTGCTGTTCAGTCACTGGCGTGGTGTCACTAGTGGCGTTTGTTTGCTTAATCCTAGCACTGTGCACGCGCAGCACGTCTTTGGTTGCGTTTAACTTAACTGTGATTTACGTGTTGTCTGTGTCGTAGTAGGTAGGAGGCACTACAGAACATATTTGTTCTAAGACGGTTTTAAATGAATCATCCGGTACTAATACGGGGTTTTTCCATCCGAAATGATTGCTTAGAGTGTATATAACGAAGATATGAAGACCAGTATCGTTGCTGTGATCGTCAACTGCATATGGGTGACCCAAAGTATAGCATAATGTGGCATTTTTTTAAATAATACACAAAGCATTAGGTAGTCTGACGGTTAACCTGATGGAGAATGGTAACAGCCGCCAATAGATTAATACGGTACGAGGAAGTATTATTCTTAACATCGTATGTCCGACTAGTAGATTCATAAAAAAATTAGGCATTTTTTATCTTTGTCTTGTAAAAACGTGCCGCAAGAGCAATTTACGATCAGGGTCGCAGAGTGTATCTCAGAGATAAGTAAGAAATAAGTTAAATTCATTAAAATTATAATACAATAATAACAATAATAACGCACATACTCAACATAGCCCCGCACTATCAAAACCCTGTGTCGCGGGTGCCATGGACACACACATAGACAACTACAAATCACACCCAAACTCACGAGAGAGCATGGTAAACGTTCGTTCACGGAGGCAGTTCTTGCACTAGCGTCACAAAAAGCTAGTAATTTTCATGAAAATAGATAACGCGCACACACTCCTAGCCCCGCACTAGGGAAACCCTGTATAGCGGGTGCCATCGACACAGGCGTAGACAACCACAAATAACACCCAAACTCAAGAGAGAAATAAATGTAGGGCATGTAAATATTTCTCCCGGCCTGGCAATCGAACCCGAGACTCTGCGTCGCAGTCCGGCATGGTAACCGTTCGGCCACGGGGACAGTTGAAGAGTTAATAATAATACGAGGAATAATCACTTTTTTATTATAACTGAATCAGTTAACGGAAAGTGGGTGCAAGTGGAATCCAACAAACCGGGTGCATCCTCTTATTTGCCATCCTTAGAGGTGGGATATTTTCTTGAAATGGGACCACTACTGAGGTACTCACCCCATTTTTAACAAAAAAAAACATGGAAACGATTTACAAATGTCAGTGTAATTGCGTAATACACGTCCAAAAAAATACAGTCAAATTACAACCTCCTTCTTCTTGGAATTCGGTTAAAAATCAACTAGTTATTTTTGACAGTGGTCTCCATAAAGTCAAAAATTAATTTAAGTTCAAAATATTATTTTCTCACGGAAAATCGGTTTTTTATGTTGATAATGAAAAGGGAAGACACCGGTAGTGAAGTGTGGGGCCCGAAACGCGATTGACTAACACAAAAACAAAAAAAATCTTTTTTACCACGTTCAACAACGGAGAAACCAGTTTCATTCGATAGTTATTAGAGATATTTCAACGAAATTTCCTCCCACGCGTTCCGTACTAAATTAGTCAGAAGCTATGAACTGATTTTACAGTAAGAGATTATACATTTATATTTTTTCTAAAAGGCAAATATCTGAATGTCGTGCAATGAATTTCTCCACGACGCGCTTCAGAGCCTACGCAACCTACAACTACACCATTTCGCCTTAATATTATAAGTTATCTGTTTATCTGCGTTCACGCATATTCCTGAAAGCCACAAAACACAATTTCGCCAAAATATTGTTAAACAGCCAGCCGGTTTAATGTTTACAACGGCTCCGTTATCTGCCATTGTTGTATTGTAATTGGACGTGGCTGTTGGCTCCCAATAATTCCGACTTGCTTTCATTACGTCTCAAGTAAGTTCATAACAGGAGTGGTTAATGTATTAATACGTGGGTTTTTCATAAACATGCCTGGTAATAATTGTTTTACGTATTTATCATAATTTAGCATTTAATAATATAATACGCCTTTCCTATTTTTTTTATAGAGACAGAAGCAATAGAGTTGCTAATTAATGTGTAAAAATACAAAGTTCAAAATCAGGTTTTTTTATAAATTAATTTAAAATAAATTAATGTTAAAATTACACCGAGATAGAGATTTTGATCAATTTTATAAGCCGTTGTTGTGAAGCAAATTCATTAAAAACCCAATTTTCGGTAATTAGCAAAAACGTCTTGATCCCTATACGCTTTTGATGTGTGTGTTTTATTTATTTCAGATATAGGCTTACGGTTACTTATTCAAACGGGTGTGTAAAGTGTCTTAAACATTGACTTACATTATATGGACGTCGGGTCCGCGCTAAAAAGTGTCCGAACTTATAGGGCGTTAAAATCGTATACAGAGCGTCATTCACGCTCTAGTCTTCGTTTGTTCGACTGACAGCGAAGCAAGCAAAATTAGACAGTACTGCGATGACATTGCAATTTAAATTCAACGTTTTAGCTTTTTCATATTCCTTTACATGTCACTACGTTTAAATAGGTTGGCTTGGGACATTTTTTTCGTGGTTTTTGTATTAGACCCGTCGTCCATTTATTTGCAAGTCAATGGTCTTAAAAATATTATTCACGTAACACTCAATTGGCGTAATTTTACTTCCTATAAACTCATTTAATATAGTAATTCATTACATATAACGAACTTTTAATATAAACTTACATTCTATAACTTCATTTTTAATAACGATCTTCAGTTATGAACCACAGTTCATATAACGTCATTTTACATAATTTCCTTTCATCTAGAAATTCTTCTTCTTCATGTCCTTATCCCACGCTAGGTGGGGTCGGCACAACATGTTTTTTTCTTCCATTCTCCCCTATCAGCCGTCATTTTTATACTCACACCTTTCTTATCCATGTTATCTTTCACACAATCCATCTATCTTTTCTTTGGCCTTCTTTTCCCTTTTGTCTAGAAATAGGATTATTTCCGAAAAACGATATCCCTAATACTAATATTATATTAATTATAATTTGGCCTGAAAACACGTTCGGAAACGTAAACAAATTCGTTTACGTTTTCCACTTTTCGTTACGCCACTCGCCGGCCGCTGCCGCGGCACGCTTGCTCGGCTCGGCTGCTCTTTCATGTTCTAACCTAACCTAACCTACTGAATGGGAGCCGCAACCTAGATTTGGCTTATGTTAAGTACGTTTGTTTTATTTAAACCACCAGGGAATCGAGTGTCTAACAATAATAATTTTGTCGAAATGAAAATTCAGCGTTGTAAATTATATTAAGGTAAACAACTCTCCCTCCTCGGCACCTATGGCTTTTAAGTTACGCTCCTAATATCGAACTGACAAGTACCATGGTGAGTCGGGTTTAAATTTATTATATTTGAAAAGAGTAATTTAAATTATTTAAATTATTATATAAATTGACAATATATGAAAAGGTTGCTATATAATATGAGCTTTATATAAAAAAATAAAAATAAAATGTGATTGTTTTATCAAACAAGAATCATATGAAGGTAAATTATAAGAAATGAAATTAGTGCACATTAAATGAACGGTATTTGTTTTGAAATTAGTTTATTCAATTTTCGTATAAGTGAGGCGCGCCCTATTCAAACGTATACATAACTTGTTCAAAGTACCTCGACATCTGTACATTGTTCTGAAATAAGTATTCTATGCATCATCTAATAGATTTAGTGGAAAAAAAGTAAGTATACGAAATAGTGACATTTATGTTTCAAATAAGAATTCGAAACAACACACATCAAAGGTGTCTAGGGATCAAGGTGTTTTTATATTTAATTACCATATAAAGTTAAATAAAAATATTAAAAAAAAAATTCCTTCGATCCGGTCGGATTCGAACCGACGTCTTCTTGCATACCGTGCCAGATGCTATACCAACTACGCAACGGAACGAACTCACGAATTTTTCTATGTGCTTGCGTCGTGTCTTTGTATTTGGTTTTTCAACGACTTTTTAGTCGTAGCGCCATCTATGAGAAATCTATTACAGATTTATCACCCAGTTAGTACCTTTACAGCTACCAGTCCTGGCGAGAGATGTCGCTATTCACTGTATTAATTAATTTTTTATTGAATTGATATTCAATTCTTTTTTGTGAAATTACTCCACTAGTTTCTTATAATTATTAATACAAAGATTGAACACTCAAAAGTGATTTGGTGTTATTTAGTGTGTTTTCGTCTTTTTTGTATTTTCGTAGTGAAAATGAGTTCTAGTGACAAGAGCGATAACGAAAATACAGCAATGGATAGTATAGTCTTAAATTAGCAAGAGCCAATATTAACCATGCAAAAATGTTTGGCGGCTATGAGCAAAGTAAGGTATATCATAACTTATGAAATTTTCATGTACTGGAGAACCAAATGAACCACGCTATCAGAAGTTCAACAGACTACTGTTAAAGTGCCTGCAAAAACATAAAATTTCACTTTTGATATTTAATTAATATTTTTTTACTTTTTCTATTTTTCTTCCTCTCTTTAGTCTTTTATTATTTCTTCAGATTGTTTGAGAAAAGCATTATATAAGCCTCGGCGGGAACGGGGATTGCTTGACTCGTGTTAATACTTGGCCCAGCAATCCCTTACTTCCCGGCCTTGTGGCACTCCATTGTTGCAATGGAGTGCCACAAGGGTCTATTTTAGACCCACGTTTGTATTTGTAATATACCTAAAGCTACGACATAAAAATACCTAATACATTGCACTAGTTATAGCGTATTTTTACACCGCCATTATTCAATTACGCTCTCTATGGATCCGTGACAATTTCTGC